AGTACTTTCTTTTAACTGTTACTCGGTTGAATTCCCAGTAATCCACACACAGTATGAGAGAACCATCCTTCTTTTTCATAAACAATACAGGAGCGCCCCAAGGAAAATGGCTAGGGCGGATAAACTTCTGGGTAATAAGTTTAGAAAGCTTATTTTCTAGCTCCGTAAGCTCAACACGACTCATACGATAGGCAGACTTCAAGATTGGCTGGGTTCCAGGTAGCAACTCAATAAGGAACTCCGCTTCTCGCAGGGGAGGCAAACCAGGAAGTTCGATGGGAAAGACATCCAGAAAGTTACAAACAATCAGTATGAAACACACAGCAGGATCAGAACCCATATTCCTGTTTATTTAATTGTTAGAAAAAATAATAACAATAAATTTTATTCCTTTTTCAGGGACCGTAAAGTTATAATTTTACTTTCACAATCGATTATTGCTCTATACCTTTCTAGCCAGTCACTTCCTAATATCATATCAAATCTTGAAAAATCTAACAATATTAGATTCACAAATACTTCTATCCCTGAAGCTTTTATCTTATAATCTTTATATACACAACGAGGTTATAATAATTCCCTAGATGGAGTTTCTACCGTTAATATTTTCACTAAAGGTTCTGGCCTAAAATTAAGATTACAAGCAAATGCACATGAATTAAAAGAGTGAGTAACACCTGTATCGATCAAAGCCTTGGTAGAAATATCATGAATAGAAAGCATACCCTGGATGAGAACAGGAGTGGAGAGAGCATCGGGTTCATCCAGGTGGTATATACGACCCTGGGCTACAGGCCTAGCCACGTCTTTCGATCGCTGAGGGCAGTCTTTTATGAGATGTTGGGTGCTTTCGCACTGAAGTAGGCATGATTGATATACCGACAGGGTAGGTCACCATGCGAGTGACCTCAATGCTGACATAGTTGGTTAGGTTGGGTAGGCTGAGCTGTAGGTGGAGGTAAGGCAGGGGGAAGGACAACTCTAATTCGTTTATCAGGGTGGCTACTTACTGGGTCTGACAATATCCTTATAAGCTATTGGGATTTTTACTTGGTACGAACTCAGGTAATGCATTAGTGTTTGGCTGAGATGAGGTCTTCGGATAACTGGGCATGTTCTAGCACCTCAGAATATGAGTTAGGTCTTAGTATCGCGATCCAGCCATAGATATCGGCACAAATGCCCTTTAGAAACTTCCTAACTTTTTGACTTTCGAGTGCAATCATTAGAGGGACAAATCTAGACAGTTGGACAAAAAGGGCTGCATACTAGGCAACCATTAGATTTCATTAGCGGAGATCCTGAAATTTTTCCTTTTTCTTTTCTCAGACATAAGTAAGGAAGAAGTTATCAAAGAATGCATCTATGAAAACTTCCCAGGTGATAAGGGTAGATAAGACTTCCTTTTTAAATCGCTACCAGTGTTCAGCTTTACCGTTGAGCATAAAAGCTACTAGAGGAACCTTATGTACCTCAGTCAAGTCTAGGGCAGAGAAAAACTTCTCTATTTGTAGGATACAGGCTTCAACTACTAAGGGGTTAGGGCCACCTTCATTTCACATTTCTTTTTTTTTATTTCTTTTCTTTTCTAGGTAACAACATTGACTTCATATTATTTTTATTACATGCAAATCATCAAGTATCTATAAATCACATAGTATGCTTGAAATCAAGAACAGTTCAGCTTATTAGGCCTAACAACACAAAAGCATACAAAACAAGAAAAATCACATTTATCATATTTAATAATTTTTTATTATCTAAAAATACCCCTTAAAACGTTTAAAGAAATACTAAATTCTTTATCGAAACCTTGATAATTTCTTCTACACCATTCTTCTTTTCTTCCTCTCCTTCTCTCTCTAGATCACTCTCTCTTTATAATTATTTAAAAATAAAAGAATGGAAGTCTGTGGAAGAATGGGAAGGGAATGCTTTATTTATAGAAATTAGAAACCATCGAATTCGTGCTAAGTGGCGAAATCCAGTGAAGAGAGCTGAAAAAAAGATGCTCAGCATGAAAAATGAGGGATAAGAGTCTCCTCCGCCAGCAGTGGTGGTAGTACGCTACCTGAGGTGACAATAGTGCACTGCCCGAGGCTACAGTGGTCCGGCCGGCGCGCCGTAGGTGTATGGCCCTCCTTCCACGCGTGCAGGAGCTTGCATGTGCGCGCATGGGGCCTTGGCACGCTAAGCGTCGCACGCGCAGGCCCTAGGCACACAAAGGCTTATCCACACAGGCCTGCTGCACGGACGATGCGCGCACAATGCACGGTGCTTGTCCACGCACGAGGTGATGCTTGGACTGTGCGCTCATGCAGCGCCTGTTGTGCGCACATGCCCTTCGCACAGACACCATGTTGCGCACAATGTGTAGGCGCCCGCGTGGGCAGCTTCCTTCCCCACAAAAGTTTTCCGTTTCGAAATTTCTTTTTTTTCTTTTTTTTTTGTACCGAATAAAATAAAATTAAAATTAATGAAATTAAATAAAAGTAGAATTAATTAAGATAAAATTAAATAAAATCAAATTAAAATCGATAAGATTTATGAATTACGATAATAATTTACAGAGTAAATTAAATGAGTTCAATGCGGCCTAAAGGCTCGAATAAATAGGAATTTTCAAATTAATTAAGTACAATGATGGGACGGAGTGTTTCATGCACAGTGCACGAGTGGCGCGCACGCCCTTCGCACAGACACCATGTTGCGCACTGTGTGCACGTATTGTTGGAACTATTGCGTGCAGTGCATTATGCACACATGTTAACGTGGGTTATGTTCCTACGGGCGCAAGTTGTGGGAATTTTCCCCGCTTCTCATGTCGCCGTCTTCTGTTTCTTTTTGAATTTTCTGCTTAAGTTCTCGAAAATATAATTATAAAAAAAATAAAATATTTAATAAATCTCGACACATAGAAAATTCTAAATGTTAATAGGATTAATCGTAAAATTATTTCTCTCTTCTGATCACAAAAGTTCGAGATGTTACATGCCCTATGATACGAGGTATGGTCCATGACATATTACGTATTTTTTAGTCCCTTTATACTGGTAATAATACAACTGTGACCATTGGAATTGTGCTCTTGACATATATGGGTATGTGAGTGACCATTTTGGTCGAGAGGTAACTATTTAAGAGCGTGTACAATAATGTATAATACTAAGTCCATAGCGGGCCAGAGTGTGTGTGTGGTCATTTTGGCTGAGTATGAACCCCATCTAGTGGTGGTATCGAATGATATATGTTGATATGTACTTATGATTGTGTCCACATGATTGTGGAGATACTGATTTATTTTTCTCTCTTGATAATTGATGTGAACGGTATAACACATTGAGAATACTGGTAAAAATACTAGAGATAAAAATCTAAAGTGTGATAGGAAGATAATATTGTATATTGCTGAATTTATGTTACTATGTTATATTTAGAACACTCGAGTATGAAGATATATAGAACCGAACTCTACATCGCTCATGTTAAAGAATGGGAAAGGATAAGAATTATACTAGTTACCGATGTAGAGAAAAGTAGTAAATAATTCTTACAGAGTTGTGAACTCACCCACTTTATATTGTTTTTTACAGAGTAAGAAAATCAACCTCCAGAGCATATTCAAATAAGACAGGAATTGGATACTTAAAGCATGAGAGATGCTAATTATCACTAGTTAATGTTGAGATTAATTTTCACACTTTAAAGACTACTTTAGTCCTTGTTAATATATTTTTAAATTTTTTAAGAGTTTGTAGATAATTTTTCTTGAGATTAAAGGAAGGCAACACCTTGTAAACAGAGATAGACATACAGGATGGAATTTTGGAGAATACTTTGATACAAGTTGACCCCATCGTTCTATATGGAGATTGGGGACATTATATATGATATGAAAAAATTTGTAAACTTGAGGAAACTTACAGAATGCTAGATATTTGATTTGTTATTGATGCAAGTTGACATCTTTATTATCTACTGAGAAATTGAAGATGTCACAAATAAGCATATTAAATTAAATTATCTTAAGTAAATAAGATTAAAAATGATCAAAAATTAGTTATCTAAATATTTAATTCTTACTAAATTACATTAGCTTGAGAATTAATAGATAGTTAGAAACACAGCATTGTCAAAAATAAAAGCACTTTTCACTTTTTTGTTATTAAATTTTTTTAAAATCTTAATAATTAAACAAACTAAAAAGAACCAGAACTCGAAACTTTACAGCCAAACAAACTCTAAATTTTTTATTTTTAAAAATTTAAAAGTGGAAAATTTAATTTTAAAAAAATCAAAACATGGAACCAAAAATAAAAAGTAGCCCATATATATATATATATATATTTATATGTATGATGTATGTGTTCGAGCGCAAGATGGGAGCATTTGTAGACGAGGATAATTGTGTGTGTGGTTGGAGCGTAAAGCCTCATCTGCACCTCAATTCAGCTCTCAATTTCTTTTATTTATTTATTAATTTTGTTTTGCATTATCCAAAAATAGTGCTACCACAAAAATTTTAATTTTATTATTTATTTTTTTCTTTATTTTTTTGGTGTAAAAATATTTTATACCAATTTTCCTGTATCAAGTTTAAATTTTTTAATTCAGTGAAAATCAAAACTAAATATTGATAATTCTCGATTTGAATAATCAACTTTATTGTAATAATATTATACTTTAAAAGAGGTCCTAAAAAAATTGATCTAATTTTTATTTTTATTATCTAAAGACGTATTTATTTATTTTTCCCCCCCTTTATTTTTTTAAATTATCGTCGTGATCACCAGCACGCTTCTCCATGAAACCACTTGCGTGACACGTGGCATGAAATAATTGGATACCTTCCACCCCCAGTCCGTCCAACTATTTCCATCTGGAACGGCAGAGATTGAAATGTGGGTCCCCTACGAACCCGGATTTAACGGTCACGATCGTGTTGTGCAATGAAACATACTGCTCTTTGGATAGAGAATCAGCGAAAAAAAAAACTTATTTTAACTTTTCTTCTTATGTTTGAGTTCAAAGCAAGAGAATTCCCTCAAAAACCGCCATCTTCGAAAATTATCGAAGGAGATGGGAAGAGCATTTGTATACGTGATTCTTGGAGGAGGTGTAGCTGCTGGTTATGCAGCTTTGGAATTCACGAAGAGAGGTGTCTCTCCTGGCGAGCTCTGCATAATCTCTGAAGAACCTGTGAGTCAATTCTCCATCTTTCGTTCTATTTCCAGCTATTTCATCCTTTACGAGATTGATTGCTTCCATTTTCTCAAATAGATTCCCTGCTCTTTCAATTCGCTACTTTCTATATTCAATTGCTTTTCTTTTCTAAGTGGCTACCCGTTCAAATATCAGTTTTGTTAGTTGCTCTACGCTCTTTTATATTGTACTAACATAGCTGTACTTGAAATCAGTTATTTTCTTTCTTATCTATTTGTTTCTTCAACTGAGTCAACTCAATTCCGTGCCACTTAATTCCGGATCAGTTAGTGCGTTTTGTAAAACTTGTGATATGCTTAAGCTTTGAATGAATTTGCAAGGGTAAGCTACACCTCATCACTTTCTTTATAAAACGCTACTTTCTTTCAAATTCTATTGATTTTATAAGAAAGAAAACGTTGAAGGTTTCATAATCGAACTGCAACAGAATAAACGTTAAAATATATACGAATTAAGCAAGGAAGAGGATCTGAATCATATGGCAACATGTTATTCATTTGCGTGGTGGCAAATGGGAATATCCATTTCATGTTATGTAGTTATGCATACATCTCCTTTTATCATTGGGTTCATTTTGAGAAAGTTTTGGAAGAATAAAAAATGATGAAAGGTCTATCTGTTCTATAGTTGGAACTTTCTTGAAGCTTGCATGTGTTCTTTCAGGTTGCACCATATGAAAGGCCAGCACTAAGCAAAGGTTTTCTACTTCCAGAAGGTGTGTAACCTCATTCACATAACTTGTTACTAATTATTTCAGGGTATTCTCCATCACAACTATTAGATAGTTCTTGCAAGGGTAGATACTTTATACTAGTCTCAGTCATGAATTTCAGTGACATTCATGCACATATTTTCCCATTCTCGGAGTCATTGGACATAACTCAGCTAAAATCTGAATTTCCTCAACTGATTTTGTCGTATCGAGGACTCAAATTGGGGTTCTGGGTTCAAATAGGTTCATGTCTTTCTATTCTATTCAACTTTTATGCTTTCTGCCCCAGCCCAGTGGAATCGAGATGTTCTGCGTTCATGTTTTATAGAACAAAATCCACGTACACATATAACACCATTATGTATTGAGAAATCTATACCTGTCCCCGTAGTAGTTAGATATCATGCTACTTCCTTGAGAACAAAATCATAATCAACTTGGTTTCTAATTAGCTATAGATCTGGTACAATCTCCAAAGAAGTCATAATTACGTGCTTTGATTTAGTCTTGTAGAACCTGCCAAATATGTGTTTTAAGTTTCAATCTTTCAAAGTTTGTTTGATCTGACTGCAAGATATGGGCTAAATGTATAACATACAATTTTGTAAATTTGTTTTTGTTCCCCTGCTTGTGGTGTCATTTTGAATAGATAAAAGACCCTAGAAAGTTTGTCAATTAGAAAGAACTTATGGAAATAGGCACCAGCATCTCTTAGATGTTAAATTTTTTCTGGGGGCCAAACAATGTGAGGAAATACTGGCGGAAATGCCTTGTATAAAACAGCAAAATAGAGCATGATGAACTGACTTATTCTTACAAGTGATTTGTTCCTCGTTTGGAGTCTGGAAAAATAGATAAAAGCCTCAGTTACTAGATCATGGAGGATCGTTTTTCTGTGGTGTGGTTATTGGTCTCTTTCCTTGTCCTAATGTTCTTGTTCTCAACATTATAGAATAAGAAAATGATAGTTTCTTGATTCAGTATTTTCTAAAACTTATATTACTGTCCATGCTTACCCTGATTGAAATGATTATTCATATGCAGCTCCTGCACGGCTTCCATCATTTCACACTTGTGTTGGTGCTAATGAAGAAAAGTTGACTCCAAAATGGTATAAGGAGCATGGTATAATTTCATCATATAACTCCTTTTTATGTCTCATGCTTGTTAGAAGAACAGAAGTAAAATTACCTTTCTGGATATATGTTTTGAATATGTGTGTATATTCAACTATATCTTGTTTCAGTGTCTTTTTTTTTTAAATAATATCTTGTTTCAGTGTCTTATTGGGAACTAATATTCTGTTTCCTCTATACTGACAGTAACCATTATTAATCAAATGAAAAATGAGACAAACTATAGTGTTCAATACCGGCTTTTTGGTTATGTGCCCAGTCAGTGGAAAAAACAATGAGAAAATAACGCTTTGAGTGAAAAATATTGGAATGAAGTTTTCAAAATTTCTCCATTCATTGTTTGAAAATTTAAGCTCTAGCTGTGAAGTGTCTGTAATTTGTCCATCTGTAGTTCGAAAAATCTTGTAGCAACTAGCTGTCGTAGAGGTGATTTAATACTGTTTGTACGTAGTTCCTACTTGTTCATGCTATTTGCTAAGGGAGGGTGGTTGATCCTTTTCCTTTAAATGTAACCTGCTTCATATTTCCCTCGTAGCTGACTGACTCCTAGAAGTATCTTCTTAATTTTGGCCTATATTTGGGAGTATGATGGGTGAAATAAAGTAGTGTTTTTGAGAGTAAAAATCAAGTAAAAGAATAGTGAAGACTTTGTAATGAAACATTGTTTGGAAGTTCATTATAAAAGAAAAGTAGAGTAACATAGGAGTTGTAATTGAACCTGTTTTGGAAGGTAATTATGGTAGAAAAGCAAAAGAAATTCACTATTTGATTGAAGAGTAAAGTAGGGATCATTAAATATGAAAAGACTGTTTTCTGTAAATTATAACAAAAAGAACTAATTTGATAACTTCTCACAAAAAATTAATATTTAATTAACTATGAACCTCTTCTTTTTGAAATAAATTATGAACCTCCTCTTACCCCCTTTTGATTTCGGACTTTGATTGGAGACTTGAGGAGTATAAGGGATTTAGTGACCAATGTTTTACTCCCTAAGATCTTACTAAAATCTGTCAAAAGAAGATTTATGTCAAACTCTATCTTGTTTTTCCTTTCATTACCACCACCCAAATAAAAAGAACTCTTAGACAGACAATAGAATTAAAACTTGTTCAAGGAAGCTACATTAACAAGCTTATATGGGCATGGCGCGAGCCAAATATTGATCAGTAAAAACTATAAGTTTGCCTACTGAATACCATACCCCACACGAATGTGGAATAAATGGTAAGGTTTGATCTCCTGGGGTGCTTGAGCAGTTAGCAAACAAATAACGAACCAGAAGCAATGTTGCTGATGGAACATTGATTAGAATACTTGCTACAGTATCTAGGATGTTTACGTAACTCTTTGAAGCTGGTAGAAAACATACGATAATGTATTCCATTGTGGGAAGCATAGGTAGCATTTGGTGCAAATATCAACCAAAGAAGATGGAATAACACAGAATGAGTTGAACATAACGAAAACAATGATATGTTTGGTAAGCATAGGATTGGACTGCACAAACTTGTATTGTTTTATATTTGATAAACATTGAACAGAACAAAATATAGGGTACAGTACAATTACTCAAATACGCTTCTGATGCTTACTGTTCACTTGTTAAACTTTGAAAGTTAAACACAAAATCATTTACTTTTAAATTTTAAAATTAATTCAAATTTGACCATTTTATGAACTTGATAATTAACATGATAAATTTAAATTTAAATTGTTAATATATTGATAAAAAACATTCGTTCAATTCAATATATAAATTGTTTAAATATAAAAAACATCACAATAAAAAGTAAAGCTTGAGATAAATATATGCTAAATCTACCTAGAAAGAAGTGGTGAAAAAAAAATTGACTTTGGATATAAATGTTTTGCAACAGAACATTTAAGAGTTAAATGTGAATGAGGGTAAAATTGGGTGGTTAAAAAACATATGGGTTCTCAAAAGTTCAAGAACTATTTAGTTCTGTGGTTTTGAAGGAACTAACTTGTTTCTCAAAGTTGAACTTTTTGTTCTATCCTACTTTACTTTTTATGTGTCATCAAACATAGGAACCTTATACCATCAGTCCTCTAATTTTGGTGGCAACAAAAGCTACCATAGGGATTTTCTGGAATTGTTGACAATAAGGTTTCCTGGAATCTATATATCCAGAATATTTGTCCCTTCATCAAACCTATCCTGGCCTTACTTTCAAAATGAGGAGATTTTAGACCTTGTCAGTAGTGTTTGTCTATCTTATTAAGCATTAATACAAACTTTTCTTCTTGAAGAAAATGTGTATATCATGTTTAATGATGAAACTTTTTTAGTGCTGAAACAAACACCAATTTCAACTGGCAGCTCTTGGATATTTGGTTTCCTAAAAGCAAGACTGGATGCATTGGCTAACTGTTGAATTTTAAACTATTTCTAGCATTTTAAGTTTAGTCTCTTTTGGTTTGAATATCTAAAACTTCCATTCACTAAATATCTTGGCAAATTAATTTTTAAACTCTGAATATTTTCTTAGGAATTGAGTTAGTTCTTGGAACTCGAGTTATGTCTGCTGATGTTAGGCGAAAGACACTGTTAACGGCCACTGGAGAGACAATAAGTTACAAGATTCTCATCATAGCAACAGGTGCTCGGGTATTGGACTTTTCCTCTTATTATGAAGTATTCTTCTGCTTTTAATTTGATACTCATGCTAATAGTAGCTGCCTACGTTTCTGGACTTGCTGGTGGCTTTGATGAAGTGTAAAGATGAGTCTTTGATGTACAAAATGACCAATGGCATCGACAATATATAGACTTGAAACACATAATTTAATGGAAAAGATGATATTATGATGTTAAATAAGTTCTCCAAACAAATCACACCCTAACATAGCTCGCAATTTTCTTCATCTTTGCACTTCCAGTCATGCTTAATATTAAGGGCCTGTTTGGGAGAGGGGGAGGGGATGCAAGGGAATGGAAGGGGAGAGAAATGTTTTATTTTGCTGGCTATAGAAATTTATAATGGAAAATGAGGGGAATGGATTATGGAGAGGAACATTTCATCTCCAGTCTCATCAAAGTCCTAAAATACAAAAGCTTTCCCCCCTAAATTTGGAGTGATTTGGATGAGGTGGAAATTATTTAGAAGATATTTTATTGTCACTTCCGAAGCCTCCCTTTTCTTTTTTAAAGTTTAAACACCCATACTTTCTCCATATTCCGACCCCAGTCTCCAATTATTGTCTTAGAAATTAAAAACTTTCTGTTCCTTCCTTTCATCACCCAGGAAAACAGAATTAAACTAATGAATGTTTCAGGATTTCAGCAGAGTAATTCATAGAAAGTTGTGGCTTTACACATGATTAACATTTTGAATCGTCAGAAGTTTTGAAATTCTCATAAATAACTAGCAGTGAATTTTGAGCTTAAGTTTGTATGTGTAGGCTTTGAAGCTTGAAGAATTTGGCGTTGGTAGTCAAGATGCTGAGAATGTGTGTTATTTACGAGATTTAGCTGATGCAAATAGGCTTGTCAATGTGATGCAATCTTGCACTGGTGAAAATGCTGTTGTCATTGGTGGTGGCTATATAGGAATGGAATGTGCCGCATCTTTAGTAATCAACAAAATAAATGTAACCATGGTGTTCCCTGAAGCACATTGCAGTAAGTAGTTCTGATTTAATAATTAAGTTTGGTATCTTATAAATATCTCCATAATTGACCAAGATTTTCGGTAAATGCTATTAATTTTTTATTCTTTTCCATTTTAGTGGCCCGCTTATTTACACCAAAAATTGCAAGTTATTATGAAGAATATTACAAGTCTAAAGGAGTGAAGTTCATCAAAGGAACTGTCCTGTCATCATTTGATTTTGACTCCAAAGGAAAGGTAATAATGTGACTAAATATGCACAGGGTTTCTTTCCATTTGTTTGGCGCGGTAGGAATGCAGACTCATATTTTCTTCCATACTTCAAATCCTCTCTCCAAATTCCCAGTGGGAATCAGACCTCTCATCCCCAACCGGAGCATATATGATTATAACTTGTTCATTTATTTTGTTTAAAGGATCAATTTCAAGACATCATGGACATGCTGGTGAATTGATTTACAGGTTACAGCTGTTAATCTCAGAGATGGAAGCAAGCTGCCTGCAGATATTGTCGTGGTTGGAATTGGAATACGTCCCAACACAAGCCTGTTTGAAGGACAATTAACCATAGAAAAAGGTGGGATCAAAGTGAATGGACGACTGCAAGCAAGCAACAGCTTTGTCTATGCAGTTGGAGATGTTGCATCTTTTCCAGTAAAACTATTTGGGGAAACTCGTAGGCTTGAGCACGTTGACTCAGCACGGAAATCTGCAAAACTTGCTGTTGCTGCTATAATGGAACAGGAGAAAACAGGTGAATTTGACTATCTGCCATTCTTTTACTCCAGGGTGTTCACATTGTCTTGGCAGTTTTATGGGGAGCCTGTAGGAGAGGTAGTGCATTTTGGTGACTACTCAGGAAACATGTTTGGAGCTTACTGGGTAAATAAAGGTCATCTAGTTGGATCTTTCCTTGAAGGGGGAACCAAGGAAGAATATGATGCCATTGCAAATGCTACACGGCTTAAACCGGTAATCAAGGACTTAGCAAAGCTGGAAACGCAGGGCTTGGGATTTGCAATGACAGTCAGTCAGAAGCCACCGTCTGGATCGCATCCCGAGGTTAGCAGTTCGGCTCTTGTTCTGGAGAAACCTGTATATGGTTTGCAGGCAACAGTTGGTGTTATCCTGGCTGCATCAATTGCTGCATTTGCATATTGGTACGGGAGGAGGCGAAGGAGGTGGTGAGAAGCAGGCTCAGATGCCGAGAAAGTTCATTAAGTTCTCTGAAATCCATGTTGTAGCATTGCTCGTCCTAGGAGATTTTAAAATACTAATTTAGTTATATCATCACTCTATTTAATAAAAAAATGCTTGACACGATATGGAATTATTAGTTTACCCAAATATAAACTGATATCTTCTATTAACTCACTTCTTTTTATTTGTTCTTACATTTTTCTATTCTAAGCACTTCATATATATATATTTAAAAAAATTTATATCACATGAGAAATTTTTTAAAAATAAAAGATTTTATTATGTTTTTATTAAAAAAATTAAAATATAACAGTGCAGTTAAACGAAATTATGTAAAGTATAATTTTTTACGAAAGGTAAATTAACAATTTTGTTGATAAAAGAATTGTGACTTAAATAAAAAAGATGAAAAAAATTTCCTCAATTAAGAAAAAAGATTATTAGCTCTTTTTTTATAATTTGATATTTAAAGTTACAAATTATTTTGAAATATAATATTTATTACAAAGTTTAAAAATTTCCATGGAAATTACAGAATTACTTCAGTGTTGCTTATAATTAGATTTTTTTTTTCTAGGGAATTTAGAAATTATACTAATAATGGGCGAATCAATTTTTCATTTGAACCGTATACATAAGTAACAAAACTTATGGGAGAGGTTTGTAACAACCAAAATTTTGTCTTTTTAACTTAATTTTTTATTCCCGTTTAATATAAATTTTCCTTTTTAAATCAATTTTTTTATAATTCAAATAAAATAGAAAAAGTCTTCATAAATGAGAAAATAATATTGCAAAAAAAAAAAAAAAACTATAGCTTAATTAAAAGAATAAAATACTCAAAAAAAAGTTTTTTCATAAATTTAATTAATATTAAAATAAAGAAAATGAAATTTGTAATTCTATTTAACAAATAAAAAGGATCTAAAAAATTGCTCTATCAATTCAAGAATGAGAATGAAGAACAAACATATGAATATGTAAATTTTATCTTATTTTTCAGGGTTTTATTATCCATTATTTTTAATTGACGACAAGAATGATTAATTTATAAAATTTTTAAATATTATTTTACTTTTAAGTATATCTTCATTTTTCTTTATTTAATCTTTTGAGTTTTAAATCCTAATGTCAAGTTTTCTTCCAGGAAAAAAATATGATGCAGAAGAAGAAGTTTTATTTGATTGTTCACATAGACTAGATTTCATATTTGTTTTATAACTAAATTTAAAAACATTTATCATATCTAATATATTCTTTAAAAACTGATTTCTGTTGACGGGCTTGTACGAGTCAGGCTGGAGAAGCCCAACCCTGTTTATGTCAGCTCATGTATGAGGGAGACTCAAAACGCACCGTTTCACTTAAGTTGAGAGAGTGATTTGGTGCTTCACGGGCATACATACACATGTGTCGGACCGAGTATAAATACTCATCTTCCGAAAAATCATTATTTTTCTCCTCTTCTTTGTGCCGCCGACAATTGGAAACCCTAAGGTCTCCTCTTCTTTCTTTCCTTTGCAAGTTATCGGGCTACTTCCTCATTCAGACGGCCGCAGCAAGAGAAAATCCTTAAGGGTTTCTCATTCTCGAGTTCTTCATTGCCGCCGAAATTCCACATGCAAATTAGGTACTTTTCTTGTGTTTTACCAATTAATTTTTTTAGATCGTGAATATTTAAATAAATTTATCGATAAATATTGCCTTTCTTTCAACTGTAGCCAAAATGAATCAGATCCTTCAAAATTGAACATCTCGTATTACATTGATAAAACATTGTACTCAACTCCAACTTGGTCCCTCAATTTCTTGATGGAAGTAACTACTACACTTGGGCAAGATCCATGGAACGAGCATTGAGTATGCAAAACAAATTAGGTTTTATAGATGGAGCCCTAGCAAGACCTAGAGGTTCAGTGGATCCACTAAGAAAATGTTGGAAATGATGTAGTGACTGTAATTATTTGGATACATAATGCACTTTCGCCTAATATTATGTTTAGTACATTCTATGTTGAAATAACTTGTCAATTATGGTCTGATTTGGAGCAAAGACATGCTCAATAGAATGCACCAAGAGTGTATCAAATCAAACAGTCTATAGTTGCACTCATGCGAAGCCAAGAACCAGTAAACATGTATTTTTAAAACTTAAATTTTTTATTGATGAAATTATAAATTATGAATTTATCCCCAAATAGACGTGTGGAGGACTATAACCTATTATTGAGTACCAGGAGATGGACCACATAATGAAGTTTTTTATGGGATTTGATGAGCCAGACAGGGCTAAATTCGGATGAAGCCTTTTCCCAATTTGAATGAGACATTTTTCATCATCAAGCAAAAGGAGAAAAAAGATAAATTTTTGTAATCTTTATGACTAACTGAGCCACGGCTTTTGGTATAAGGGAAACAAACAAGTCATACAAAAATGTCAGTCCCAACAAAGAAAAATATTGTTGTATTCACTATAATAAAATTGTATACTTTTTAGAAAGATGCTTTAAGGCTAATGCAAATGGGCCTATATGTACCAACTCAATCTATTTAGACACACGATAGAGGCATGCTGTAAAGAAAGACACCAGTCAAAGGGACAAAAGCTCCAAAGTAGCATAGACAACCCACCATCAATTAAGTATTTTCTACTAATGCACAAGAATAATTCGAAGGGGAATAGCACCATTGTTAACAAAGGACAAATATCTCAACTTACAACATTCATCTAACAAAGTCAAGCTTCTGTTAATATGGTACAAATAACTTCAGGGCAATCACAAGAACAAAACTTCACAGCATTCTTTGGTATGTTTTCTTGTTTTAATACCTGCATTAGATGTAGATAAAAACACACTTGCATTTTCGATAATTGACATTAGGGCTTTAGATTACATAGTGTATTCACCACTTCTATACATTAAAATCACATCAAATGTTGGGTCTAACATTATCTTACTAAATGGGAAAAATGGTAGATGTATCTCATATAGGAGTAGTCAAATTAAATGATAAGTTTATATTAACAATGTGTTGTGTGTATTTTTATTTAAATTTAATTTAGTATTTGCAAAAAGATGAATATAATATACATTGCATCATCCAAAACCTTATGACTTGGAAGATACTTAGTGTAAGGGAGATTAAGCATATACCATACCAGCTTAGGCAACCCAAAGAATTAAAAGACGCAAACTAGTAATTCTGTGTGGGAATGACAGTACTAAGCTCCGATAAAGAAAAAAGAGACTTTGATGTGTAACGTTATAGACTTGGACGTCCTCCATAATCCAAGTCAACTTTCGATTCTGATATGTTAACATACAAAAACCCTAAATTATTTTATGTATGCTTGTTGACAAAAAATACATAAACTTTCATTTTGTGATAGTAGTAATATGCTATAATGATGTTTTGATTTGATACATTGTGACATTTGGGGCCCATGTAGTAAAATTTCCTATGATAGATTCATATATTCGTTAATAATTGTTGATAATTTTATTAGATGTACTTAGACATATATGATGAAAAGCAAGTCTGAACAAATATGAATTTACAACATTTTTGCATTTTTGTTAAGACTTAATTTGACAGGAAAATAAGGATGATTAGGACTGATAATGGAAGAGAATTTGAAATGAAAAGATTCTACGATGAGAAGGGGATCATGCATCAAAAGAGTTGCATGGAAACTCCTCTACAAAATGGAAGAGTTGAGAGGAAACATCAATAAATACTCAATACTGCAAGAGCATTGAAATTCCAAAGTGGAATGGATGTCATGTATTAGAGTGATTTTATTCTTACTGTTGTGTGTTTAATTAATAAAACTCATTCTTCAGTGCTAAGAAACAAGACACTTTTTTGTAGCTCTACATGGAAAGAAGGCAAATTTTAATTACCTAAAGATGTTTGGTTGTTTGGCTTTTGCGTCTACTTTAACAAGTGGTAGACAAAAGTTTGGTATAAAAACAAGAAGATATGTGTTGTTTAGGTATCATTTCGATACAAAAGGATACAAATTGTTGAATAAGGAAACAAGTAAGATAATTTTTTCTAGGAATGAAATATTTCATGAATGAGTGTTTCCTTATAGGGGAAGAAAATACACAACAACTTTTAAATTGTACTAGAATCTAAGAACATACTGATAGATGTTTTGGAACCAAGTATTCCAATATAAGATAGCATGAGAGACCAAATGATGGGTCAGGAGAACCTGGACCCAAAACTTGGGAATTCCACAGACAGAAAAGCTATGCAATAATCAAGAAAGGAGAAATATGTGAGGAGAGAGAATAAAAGACCATGTGGATAATGATGAAATTAAAAGGAGAAAATCAACTAGGATCAAGAGACCACTAGAATAGTTAAAAGATTATATTTTTTATCAGATTCTAGGAAATATTAGTTGCATGGGCAACTTGGTTTATAGAAGTTCATAACAATGGTGCAGTTCTCCCATCGAGAATAGTTGCATATACTAGATTAAGTCATAATGAACCAAGCTCATATAAGGAAGCTAGTAAAGACTTGAACTAAAGAAATGCAATTAAAAATAA